ATGCATAGTGGCTAAGCCTCTAAATTTACACCGTGAGCCGAGTACTGTAGTACAAAGTGACATTAATACATAGGTGGCTAAACCTCTAAATTTACACCGTGAGCCAAGTACTGTAGTACAAAGTGACGTTAATACATAGGTGGCTAAGCCTCTAAATTTACACCGTGAATCAAGTACTGTAGTACAATGTGACATTAATACATAGGTGGCTACACCTCTAAATTTACACCGTGAGCCAAGTACTGTAGTACAAAGTGACATTAATACATACTTTTAGGTAGCTAAGCCTCTAAATTTACACCGTGAGCCAAGTACATGTACTCTAGTACAAAGTGAAATTAGTACATAGGTGGCTAAACCTCTAAATTTACACCGTGAGCCAAGTACTCTAGTACAAAGTGACATTAATACATAGGTGGCTAAGCCTCTAAATTTACACCGTGAGCCATGTACTGTTGTACAAAGTGACATTAATACATAGGTGGCTAAGCTTCTAAATTTACACCGTGAAACGAGTACTGTTGTACAAAGTGACAATAATACATAGGTGGCTGAGCCTCTAAATTTACATCGTGAGCCGAGTACTGTAGTACAAAGTGACATTAATACATAGGTGGTTAAGCCTCTAAATTTACACCATTAGCCAAGTACTGTAGAACAAACTGACCTTAATACGTAGGTGGCTAAGCCTCTAATTTACACCGTGAGCCAAGTACTGTAGTACAAAGTGACATTAAAACATAGGTGGCTAAACCTCTAAATTTACACCGTGAGTCAAGTACTGTTGTACAAAGTGAGGTTAATACATAGGTGGCTAAGCCTCTAAATTTACACCATGAGCCAAGTACTGTAGTACAAAGTGACATTAATACATGAGTGGCTAAACCTCTAAATTTACAGCGTGAGCCAAGTACTGTAGTACAAAGTGACATTAATACATAGGTGGCTAAGCCTCCAAATTTACACCGTGAGCCGAGTACTGTAGTACAAAGTGACATTAATACATAGGTGGCTAAACCTCTAAATTTACACCGTGAGCCAAGTACTGTAGTACAAAGTGACGTTAATACATAGGTGGCTAAGCCTCTAAATTTACACCATGAACCAAGTACTGTAGTACAATGTGACATTAATACATAGGTGGCTACACCTCTAAATTTACACCGTGAGCCAAGTACTGTAGTACAAAGTGACATTAATACATACTTTTAGGTAGCTAAGCCTCTAAATTTACACCGTGAGCCGAGTACTGTAGTACAAAGTGACATTAATACATAGGTGGCTAAACCTCTAAATTTACACCGTGGGCCAAGTACTGTAGTACAAAGTGACATTAATACATAGGTGGCTAAGCCTCTAAATTTACACCGTGAGCCAAGTACTGTAGTACAAAGTGAAGTTAATACACAGGTGGCTAGGCCTCTAAATTTACACCGTGAGCCAAGTACTGTAGTACAATGTGACATTAATACATAGGTGGCTAAGCCT